GTCTGTAATCTAGACTGTAGTCTTCCTTTGTAAACCACCAACACATTCAGCCTGCAGCCCCACTGAATGAACTGAAACTGTAAAGTATCTGCAGTATTAGCAGGTCATATGGATGAAGGTCCAAAGCAGAGATTCATGGTTTCATGCTGGTCCAGTCAGGTGAAGAACCTCTGCCTGTTTTCTTTACAGTCTCTTTGCTCTCCAGCCTCATCTGGGCCGAGTGAGCAGCTGTTTTCTGCTGCTGGAGAATTTGATCAAAAACGTAACAGACTCAATGTCAAAACGTTGGAAAAACTTATTTTAAATAAAAATAAAATCCATGTCCACCTGCATCCTCATTCACAACATGTTTGCTGCTTCCAGGCTGCAGGAACTTCAGTTCTGATGGTTCTGACCCGTCTGGTGGTTCTGAACACTAACTGGTATCCCCAGCAGGGGGCACTGTCCTAGTCAAAGCCTCCAGCTGCTTCTTCAGGTCTGTCTGTCCTGAACCTCCTGATCTGCTTCCTCATCTTCACTCATTACATCTTCTGATCAGTCAATCATCACTATTGATCACCACCAATCACCTGATTGGAAGAATGCAACATTTAACCACTGACCTTTGACCTGGAGATGAACCCGTTTCATCATCAGGATGACTCGTTTCCTGATGGAGACTCTGCAGCTGTAGATCCCGCTGTCTTCAGGTTTGGGACGTTCCAGAGTCAGACTGAGGTCTCCAGTCTTCAGTGGGTCGTCATTCATCCTGGTTCTGTTGCTGCTGGTCAGGTTCTGTTCTTCAGGATCATCAGAACCTTTCTGATACACATGGACCGTCCTGTTCTCTCCGTCCCTCCACTCCACTCTAGCGCCTCCAGGCAGGCAGACTCTGGTTCTGCAGGGCAGCAGGACAGATTCCACCCCTGAATTCACCTTCACCAGTGGAGCTGAGAGACAACAGAGGACAAGATGAGCTGGACAGACAGATGGACAGCAGCTCTGATGACAGAGAAGTGGAGCAGATGATGAGCTGATATCGTCTTTATCGTTCCTCCTGGACCTGGATGAACGATGGATAAAAACCTTCATCAGCTCAGAGACCATGAAGGTTTTTCTGGTTTAAATGTTTCCTTGTAACTGAGACGTTCAAGTCAGAGAGAAAAATCCTCCAGCAGAGGTTCAGCACCAAGGCAACGGCTCTGAATGCAGGACGGAACTGTAGTTTCTAGCTTCGCCACTAGGGGGAGCAGCCATTTTGTGAGTAAAGTTCAGATGTGAAATAATGTTCAGGAATCAGATCAGCAGAAGTTGTTTGTAGGTAGTTTATGTGTATTTATGTCCATCAGAGTAAGATACAGTCTATTTGTGTTTAATAAGATTAATATGTATATTTTGTTACTTTAGACATTTTCTGTTTGCTCATTTTGCCAAAAGAAGCTGAGTTTTACTTTAAAATGGTGAATTCTATTATGTTTAGTTGCTCTCTTTTACTTTATTTAATCTTATTAGTAACTAATAAAACATCCAAACATTGGATCTCACAATGGCCATAAAGAACAAGACCTACAGACCATAAGACTGGAGTAATGAGAAGAATGTTTTATTTTATTTTCCAAATATAGCTAAGCTATAAGGACTTACATTAAAGCTTAAAAAACAAGTAATGTGACTATAATATGTTTGTAACTTACAAAATGACTATTGGTGTACATAGTGGATTGTATGTTTTATTTAGCTGTTCTTTTGTAGAACCACCCGTCCACCTAATCCCTGAATCTGCCGATTAAAGAACCAGGAAATCATCACCTTGTTATTTCGTTGAGGGTCACTGAGGCTTTTAATCGATGAATATTCTGCGATCACCACCTCAGTAATACGATGCAGAATCTTGTGATCTGCATCGTTACTAATTGGTCCTTTGAGTCGGATCGAGGTGATTACAGAGTGAATATGGATTATGACTCTGAATGAGCAGGTTGGGTCCACAGTGGGCTGTGTGACCACCAGGATGGATGATAATGGGGGATAAACATGGCCGTCTAAACGCTACGTTGGAACAGCATCAGACTAGAGAGGAGCATGGCGAGGTGAATGTTACCCAGCATGCCACATGAGTTCATGACCATTGTGCAGCAACTGCAGGAGGATAATAATCAACTTCAGCTGATGGTTAAAGACATGAGGAGATAATGGACTTTCTCCTGACTTTCAACCTTTAATGCCACAGTCCATCCCTTATCTAAACCATGAGCTGGACCTAATCTGGACACCAACATGTCCTCTACCGCCCAAACATTGGATCCCACAGTGGCCTTAAAGAAGAATAAGACCTACAGACTATCCATACCAGAGTTCACAAAGGATAATCACAGGCAGTCTGCCAGATTAAGAAGATTAATATTCTTCCAGCCAATGCAACAGAGAGGTTCAAACATCAGGTGCCAGGTGACCACCTGAAAAATCTGAAGAAGCTTTTCTAACTACTGAGTCATACAGTAATTCACCAGGGGCCTCATGCATAAAGCGTGAGCACAAAAAATGTATGGAGCCATATTTTATGCACAAGTCGGCATATATAAAAATTGACATTGGTCAAAGTTTGTGTAAATATAAGCACACTTTTTCGCTGGTGTGAAAATGTGTGGCAGCCATGCAAACTATCTGTAAACAAATCAAACTACAAAGAGTCAAAACTTAACTTAACTTAAAAATAAATCCACTGAAATATGACAACATTTAGTTATTTAGACCAAGAAGCATCAAACAGACGTCCAGCTTTCAGTTTGTAGTTCAGTCGTCTGGAGTCCAACAGTCACCAAGAACCAGAGATCAGAAAAGATCCAGAGAGCAGAGAGACGCTGCTGGTTCTGGCTGTGGTTCTGTTCATGATGTTTCTATCTTCGCTGCATTTGATCTGAACATGAATGAACACAAAGAGCTGAACTTATATGACAAGATGAACCGTTGACCTCTAACCCCCAGGACAGGTCACACAATCTCTGACAGCATTCTGGGTCAGGAACATTCAGAGACTCACCTTTCAGGAAATAACCTTCAAAATTATATAAACCGCCTGCACAGACGATGAGAACCAGCAGAACCAGCAGACCCAGCAGAACTATGGCCCAGGATGGAAATGGTTCTGTAGAAAAACAGAGAAAGACTGACCTCAATCTGACCTTTGACCTTCATCAGCTGCTCTAACCTGATGCTCTGACCTTTCTTTACATATTTCAGAACCACAGTGTGTCTCAGGACGTCCTGGTCTCTGTGGACGGTGCAGACGTAGCGTCCATTGTCTCCGTCTCTGGGGTTCCTCAGGGTCAGGCTGACGTCTCCGGTCCTCAGGAAGTCTTTGTTCATTTCTGTTCGGTCGCGGTAAAAACCGTCCTGGTTTCTTTGGTTGCTGCTTGAGCGAAACATCCTGAACTCTGGTTCTGGCCGGGTCCACTCCACTAACGTCCCCTCAGGAAGGTCGGCTGATGTTCTGCAGGGCAGGAGGACAGAATCTGACCCTTCAGTGACCTCGACCTCCTGCTGACCAACTGAGAGGAAATAAAGAACGAAATGAGCAGAAACAGTTTGGATCACTATTCTGGATTGATGTCATTCAGTGTCTGTCTGCAGGATAAAAATCATTTATTTAATAATCAACATCATAAACTTTTTTTTTTTTTTTT